GGGCGGCGGCCTGCCGGAGCCGGCGAGGCGATAGGTAACCCCTGCGTCTGGGCCCAGGTCTGAGCAGGGAGCTCGGGGCCGCCCCTTGCGTGAGGAGCCGGACTCCTGTACTCACCGCCCTCTGCTTGAGGCCTTTGCTGGGGATGGAAGATGATTTCATATACGTATGGATTTGTTTGCATAGATAAGCGCTTTAGGCACCTCGTTCCCTTTTTATGATATCTTGGGAAGTCGGAGGTTATGGCAATCTTTTCATAGGCAGTTGAGTATTTTCATGGATTTGTAAAATGTCTGTAAGATGTTGATGTGAGGCTCAGAGTCTTTGCAAGTTAAAAAGGTACAGCTGTTCCTGTCATCCTTTTAAGCGTACTTGGAGACTTAAGGGCTATTTTGGTGAGTCTATATAGTTATACCCAGAGTCAGTTTCAGGTGTGCACATTGCACAGTTCCTGTGGCTTCACTTCATTCCCTTTTAATTAACGTGCAAACTTAGTATGTCTTCTTTCCCTTGGCATCTCTTCTGCTTGACAGGACAATAAATAATCCTTATTCCTCCCTTTAAAATAGGAGGGGGAAGAGCAGGGGGTGCCTGGAATATGACCTTCGCACATCTGTGCGGTAACTGATGGGGGCTGTAGCTGGGAAGACTGAACTGAGCTAAAAGTGCCAGTGGGATAAGGGAAGGACAGCTGAGCTTCACTGGAGTGCAGGGTTCCAGTGTGGTTCTCAGACTCCCGGGGAGAGCAGTGCACATGTGAAGGACTATGGGCCACACTCAAGTTTTCTTGCAAGCGTTTCTTGAAAAAGATGCTGAAAGTCCAGGGAAAGCATTCAAATGTAGTCAGAAATAGAAGCTTCAGAGTGAAAAGGATGTTAGCCTGTTTATGGTCCTTCCCGTTTCAGGTTTTCTGTTAATCTTTCCTTTTACTCCTTCCCAGTAAGCAATTTTGTTCACGTACCTTGAAGTTCTGTAGCACTCAGTTCAAACCATTACATGTCTTTGCAGCTTAAGATGCTACTTGAAACAGCTCTCAATTTTTGGGCCTGTTGCTGCAGTGTTCCCTGGCAGTGGAAAGATGCAATTGAAGGTGATCTCTGTTAAGGCCCAGGTTGGAACAATCTCATTAAACTCTGTGGGCACAATATATACTTCGCTTATGGAGACACTGCATCTGAATAATACCGCTGCTGTGTTGTAATAAGTGTCTACCAAATGTTCATATAGCAGCTTCCGTGTATAACTGCCAAGATCTCAAAGGTATAATAATAAAAAACACTTCTTCTTACACAGCCACTACCCCCCCATATGCACACTCTCAAAGAGTCTTTTTTTTGTTGTTGTCCTCTTAAAACTACACAAAAATTAGCCGGAGGCAGACATTTAACGTGGGAAATACAATATTTGCAAAAGAGAAAAGCTGAAAACAAGGCCTTATGAAATGATGTTAGGCATTTTCATACTTTCTTTGTGGATCAGTGTTACGTTTGATGGCGTGACTTAAGTGAATATATGGTAAATGATAATCACAGTGTTTTCTATTAATCAGACTTCAGTTCTAATGCCAAATGTATCTAATTCACTTTAAGGTACTTATTTTAATACAAATGTGGACTTGAGAATGTGGTACTTTGAGAAGTCTGTTATTTTAATTATTCTGAGGAAGGTCATAGCTGTGAACATGCTAGCATTTCAGAAAAAGGTCGCATGAAATTCACGGTCTGTGTGGCTCAAAGTGCATAATGAGCGTGCCAGGGAGACCGCGACCAGTGGCTGGGATGTACACGGAGAAGGGTTGGGTTCCAGTCTGTGCTCCGGTGCAATCTGAGAGCTTTAGGTGCAGTACTGCAGAAGAGGAGAAATGTTTTTTCTAGCGATTCTTTGTGTTCAGCTTGTGTTTTTTGTTTAAACTTCATTTTCTGTTATTTCTTAAGTGTATACAACAAGTTTTTAACTTACTACTTTGAATTATTTTTCTGAGAAGCTGTTAAACTTGAACTTTATAATTACTGGTACAGGAGAACACATAGTAAATATTATTTTTCCTACTTCATTCCTTCTACCAGTGCTTTTTCTCAGGTTGGTCTAATATGGCAGCATTATTCTAGTACAAAGTGCCATAATATAAATCGTGCGTAGCAAAAGAATGTATTGAGGAAGTATCCCTGCCCAAAACGTCAAGTCTGGACAAAGTTGCATTGCTTTCCTGAATTTGAATGCATAATACTTTTATCCTTATCTTTAATAAACTTTCAGGAGAGTTATTTTCTGACAAAATGTGTTGTTATGCCTTCTTAAGTTGCATCCTTTATTGTACATACCTGTTTAAAGACTGTCTCTGTTGAATTTTTGATCCATGTTAACACTGTAGCATAAAAGCCCTACGGTGGGCAGAGTGTGTTGGACCAGGCTGGGCTCGGGAGTGCTTGGTCTGTGCTGCTTCTGTCCGCGTGTGCCGGTTCCCTTGGGCTACTACAGCTCTGTGGCAGCACAGTGTAAAGAGAGTTGGGGGCTGATTCTGTGTGGGGAAAACAACCCTTTGGCAGGTTAGTTTCAGCGTGAATCAGTTCCCCTGGACGTGTCACGGTCATATTAGCATGCACGCATGTGGGTAACAACAATGGAGAAGAGTAGGACAAAACTCCTTAGCACTGACGTTGTCCCCAAATGTTTTGTATGTTTAGAATATACTTCTGTGATTACTGGAGTGTAAAATGCGTTCCAACAGAGTGTTGCTGTTCCCTGTGAACACTTAATACTTTTATAGTGATAAAACCCAGATATGCTTAAAAGATTTATTTCAGGAGCATGAGCATAATATGCTTGTTTGAATGCGTCTTCTGCAGCTTGAATTCAGCAAACACAATTAGTCACTGTAGTGAAGTATGTAGGAAGGTATTTCCAGAGCCCATATGTCCGTATAAAGTACTAATGTGCAATCTAGTTTCACTATTTTGTTAAGAAAAAATTCTGTCTAAGATAGAAGAAATCTTATAAAGAAATCTATTGGCATGTTTTCAATTTTCGTTGACTTAAAGCCTAATATACTTATGAGGTTGTACCTGTATAGAATGTTATAAAAGATATTTCTGGCCTGGGGCTAGGATTGCTGCATTATTAATGAGTAAAGAAGTTATGAGTGAGTTATGCAAGGTATCCTATTAAAAGTCTAATAGAACCTTGTATAATATCATCAGGTATTGTATGCAAGCCATATTTCTTAAGTATGTTTCCTGTGAAAGCTTTTTAGGGTGGAAAACTCTGCCTATTAGAGTGAATGAATTCTTAATGCTGAGATTGCTTGATGTCATGAATCCAATTCTATAGGACTTGAAAGAGGAACAAATATTCTTGATTATCCTTTGGTCATGCTAAAGGCCACTTGATACATGGAGCCTCTCTGTGACCAAGGACAGCATGGTACTGTTAAATCTCTGATTTCCCTTGATTTCCATATGTGAGAAGGAAGGTGACATTTTGATGTTTCTGGTGTTAGTTTTTGTTTAGTGCATAAAAGGTAATGCTTGAATCTGTCCCACAGTTTGGAACAGGGGGAAGAAATCGCTAGCAAGCTAGAATTTCCTAAGTAGAATATGAGGGGGATGGTCAAAGGTACACTACAAATGCCATTTATCCATTCTAGAGATTACTAAGAAAGTAGGAAAGGAGTGTCATTGTTGTTGCAATATACTATAAATGTTATTTTTCAAGGAAGTAGCACTGCTTAACTTTTCAGTCAAATATATTACAGATAAATATTCTTTTACATTTCTTGTTTTTAATTCAGGAAGGCTGAAGACTCTGAAATAGCAGGGGGGGAAAAAGAGTCACCTTTGAAAGACAATCTTTCACCATGGGAAGAATGGTTCATTAGCAAAGAGAAGGAACTACGTGCCCGCTTACAAGCTAGAGCTGCAGAGGTGAATATATCCAATAAGCTTGATGTGAAGTCAATAGAAGACAGCAAGTACCAAAATAGAGGATTTTTTTCTTTTGGTTGTGGGAGCACAAGTAGCTTTATCCATTATTTTTTAGTGTCTTGGGCCTCCATAGTGTTTGTGTTTGACAATGCTGACATGATTCATGCTGCATGCATTCTCTTTTGCTAAATGTTATGCTTCATTGAAGTGGTGCTGTATAATATTTTGCTTATCCAACTGTCAGGTAATGGTTCAAGTTTAAAGGATTAAAACATATTTATATAATTGGTACCTTGATTTTCATCATGGGTATGTATGCCTGCATGTAGGTAGTAAAACATGACAGGGCGTATGCTGGGCGTAAGTATGCCAAGCTACTTGGCGAGATATGAGGTACAGTGTTGTTACCCACTTAGTGTGTAATTATAAATCTGTTTGGTGTCCTTTCCCAGGATAGGTTTCCCTGTCCTGGCATTTCTTTCCCTCCTTCCATCTTTTGCCCCCTTGCAAATAAACAGTTCTTGAATAGTGCGGCTTGGGCAGAATTAAGGGAGAGCGCTGTATCTTTTCTTGATTAATATGTTTGTAGTTGCAGTTGATTAGATGATATTGTTGTTTAAAATCAAATTGGAAGTATTGGGTTATGGTTAGAACAATCACATCAAAGTTAGATCATTTCTCACTTTAGTTACTGATTTACTATTTGACCTTGAGCAATGCCCTAACCTTTCTGTGATTCACTTTATCTGTAAAGTGAATATAACATACAGCTGTTTCATGCCGGTTATCTCATGCTGTTTATAAAACACCGCGGGAAGGTTCTGGAACAGTCTCTTAGAGGTCAGCATAACACCGAAATAGTTTATTAAACTTGAGGAATACATTCTGATCCGTTAATATTCACCACGCATTTCATGACTTCCCCTTTAGATTCCAGTTTGTTAGCTGTGTCTCCCTGTTTTGATTTTTTAAGTACAAAAAATGAGCCAAAGTAATTTCTGGCATCATGTAGAAAGTGCGGTTTGTGTATGGACTTCTCATGTGGTCTTGATAAGGAACCAAAGCAATTTATTCTTGTGTATTACACAATAGTGTTCATATAGTACTAAATGTAATCTAGAAGATGTCTTTCTGAAATATATATTAAGAGCAGTCATAGGACAAGCATTACTTAAAGGTGGAATAGGTAAATGTTTTATTTTTAATTGGTAAGATTTTGAAAACATTAGGTGTTAAACTGCAACATAGGCAACTGAAATAGCTTATATGAGGGAAAAAATACAATCAACCTTTTTGTAGAATGCCAGAAGAGAACAAGCTATGTGATATAAAAATGTATTACTACATTTGCATATAAAAAGTATTCTAAACTGATATCCTAAGAAACAGAAGTCCCAGATTTGTTGCTGACAGCAGCACCAAGTCTGCCCTGAACATTGGAAATGTGGATAAATGTTTGGAGTGGATAGTGGATGGGGTCTTCTAAGGTACTTACAGTGCCATCACCTTTTATGGAGACCAGGATCCCTGCAATACAGATGTCTCAGAACTCGAAGGAGGTGTTAGTTGCTGTAACTTTGCCTCAGTACAGCAACAACTGTATTTTCAAACTGTGCCTGTATTGTGAGTATTTTCTTTGAGCTCTCTGTAGGCTCCTATTTTTTTCTTGATGTCTTACTAAATTGAAATTCAATGTCATAAGGAGAGGGGGTTCTCTCTGAAAGTAGCTGCAGTGTAGGGACCATAAAATCAGTTTCATGGAAGTAATTCCATCTATCTATGTTTGAAGGTAGAATTTTCACTGAAAAATAGCACTTTGTGCTACTGCTACTGATAGAGAAGCTAGACATCTCAAATTGTTATCTTAGTCATGGTTTTCCTTTATCGATTCATTTCCTTGGAGAGATGTAAGTGATTGCATATATATTTTATGTCCTATAAAGATAAAATACTTCAGAATTTCTTCTCTCATCTTCAAAATAAAGCTCCTGTTTCAAAGTTTACTAAAATCTACAAGAACTTTGGCTTCAATAAGCTTTGGGTTAAGCCCTAAGGCTCCTGTAGTTCTGGTACTAAAAATCACAAGTGAGTAATATTTCATTTAGCTTTTGATGCCTTTTTGAATGCAGAGCAGTACATCGTGTAAATTTTAAGTATTGTAGGAAAGTACTGCTGCGAATTAAGATTCCACTGACTGAAAGGGCATTAAAATAAGCTGAGGAGTGATTTCTTATGTTGAATTGTTTCCAAAGCCTAATTAAAACATGTATTTCCAGTTCATATTCTAAAAATTAGACATTTCCATTCATTGTATTTCATAATATTTGTATTGACTGTCATCCATATTTTCCAAAATCTTAATGAAGGAAAAATTTCAAAACCTAATGCTTACATTGTTTTAACTGCAGCACTGTCTCCAGTATTGAGTGTATTGGTGTAGATGGTCACCACAGATTTAAGATGTGTACTTTTTCTTTAATTAGGAAATGAATATACAGCTTGAGAAGATGAAGCAAAAGCAAGAGTGTGAAAGGAGGAAAAGGATAGCTGAAGAAAAGCATAAGGAATGGGTACAAAAAAAAAGAGAAGAGGTAAATACTGCTTTGGCTGCAAATATTCTAGCATGTACCACGCCTAAGTAAACCTATGTAAAATTTACTTAGACTGTTTGGACAGCCATGTTTCTAGTTTGATGAATGAATGGCTGTTTTAATTGAAAATTATAAAACTGCACCAACACAGTTAAACATTTTTCCAAGACTGATTTCTTTTTTTTTTTTTTCCCCCTAAGGTATAGAGAGATTTGTTTTCTGAGTAGTCAGATAACTGACAATTGGCCTACATCTTGTGCAGTAGCCTTCTGCTAATTATAGCTGGGGTTCTGGTCTTCAGAATACCCCACTGTTCCTGACTTCCTAGGTTCAGTGCCCAGGCGCTTTGGGTGTCTTAACTGTTTGCAATGTCTTGTACACCAAGTAGAGCCAGAAGAAGGATTTAATTAAGTACCATTGTGGACAGGCAAATAGTATGGTAGAGTTTAGAGAGATAATTGAGGTGTGAGGCCAGATTCAGGAAATTCTCAGTAGACCACAGTTAGCAATTGGGAATTCCTTCATCCAAAAAGTCATTTCTGAGTGGGATCAAAATTTTTTTTAAGTTCTCTTGAGAGGGATGCCTAAGTCCAGGATCAGAAGCATACAGAATCATGACCTCAGTGGGACATTGTACAGCTCTGTGTCACACAAAGCAAGCATGTATACTGGGTGGCAAAAATGGAAACGTTTGGGAGGCTTGGGCTTCTTCAGCCTCTGGTAGTTGTTGGGCAAATGTGTTCATTGTCTTACGGTCTGTAGTGATACCAGTTGCTTATCGTTCTGTACCTCTGGTTCTGAATAAAATCACATGAAAATTGATTAACAGTATCACAATGGCAGTAGCTGGGTTAGATATCCAGAACTCGTACATTTGTCTTCACCATTTCAGATTTCGTTCTTCAAATTCAGTCAAGAATCACTGGAATAACCTGTGTTTGGATCCAACTTAATTACTCTTAGTCTCAATGCTGACTGGATGATTGGCATAAACCCGCCCAAAACCAATCCTGCTCTAAGCATTTATTATGATATAGAAAGGGTCCTCCCTTATTAAAGTACACAGCAAAAAGTAACAGATTTATTATTCAGCACAAACAATGTTGTTTTCCTCTTCTAAAATGCAAATTAAATTATAGGTGTCTGTAATGATTCATTGGCTTGAAAGAGTTTGGGCTGCCTGTTAAAATTCTTCATAGTTCAAAACAGTGAAGGTTCTCGTTTTCCCTCCTCGCACCCCTCCTTCAACTTCTGTAAACTTCTACCTGTTTGGGTCTTCCAAAGACCTTTGTCTTCATGGATTTACTGATTAACTACTTCTTTTCTATTGTTGATGGGAATAGGAGGTCTTTTTTATGGTAATCACATCAGCCCAGAGGATGGGGAAAAAAAACATATTTGTGTTTGGACTTTATCATACTATATTTTGGAAGGATAAGGTCATCCTTAGGCCATGTCCCAAGCTTTTACCAAAAGTAATCTGATTTTCATTTAAATCAGATGATTCATTGGCTAGTCTTTTCTGTAAACCACACTCAAATCAGGAACAAACTCAAAAGCTTAGCCATGTTTAGGATATTAACATTTGTGCTGCTTAGACCTTACCACTTCAAGTTTCCACAAGATTATGTGTGGGTCTGTACACAGACTGAAGGATAAATATGTCAATTCAGTGACTAAGAAGGTTTAAAATGGTGTGAAGATTTTACATGACATTTAAGGTTAGATTCCTGAGCACTGGCAGTTGCTATGATTTTCTTGTGAGACGTATACACGCTCCCCATTTGGGAAAGCTCACTTCATTTCCTCATAGAAGCATCAAAAGGTGCTCCTTGAGGCAAAAATCACAGTATTCTTCACTGAAATATGCATTAAGCACTCACCTTTTTCATATCCAGTTACTGATTCTGAGCCGCTGGATGTAGATTGCAGAAAATGCTTTACTTGACAGGAGGCAGAACTTTCAGGGGTGTTACCTCTATGACTTCCACAAGTCTATACCCTTTCCCATTGCTGAATACTGTACTGGCGAAGAAAGTAAGGCACGGTTAAGCGTACATGAAACTTCTTCCTTCATCTTGAGCATCCAGCACCAGGAGACGCTGCTGGTTTCTGTAAGCCAGGCCAGTTTTCTTGCATTTTGTTGCATGGCAATGTCAGTTGTGATGCTTTTACTGTTACATTCTAAGCTGTGAAATATATTTTTGCAAATATGGCAAAATTTTGCAGCTTACTAGGAGTTAAAAGCTTAATAAAATCAACTGTCGGGCGCTCTCCTGGTTCTACTAGTGCCTTTACAATTTTCAGTAACATACCAGATCTCTGCTGGACAAAAATAGTCTTACTTTCTCTCCTAAGGTTGAGTCACTTGTGGGCAAACAGTAAATTGTCTGGTTGACTTGTTTTGGT